GATTTTGATCAGAGCTGATGGCCAAAGACCCCAGGGATCTCCTCTGAGGTTTTAACTTCCCCGAAATAGAGAATTCTTATTTTGCCAACTGCCTCAAGAAAGTGTTGGGAGAATCACGTGCAGAGCCAAAAGCACTTGGAGTGTGCCCTTTCAAATGAGTCCTCTTCTGAACCCCTGTCTTTCCTTCTTAGTAAAGCCCCATTACTCAGGACGGCCGATAGATTTCTCTCTGAGAACCGTCCCTGTGCTTACGGCCGGCAGCAAGCAACCCTTCAGCTTATTCTTCACCTGTCCAACACTCTGTTTTCCCAAGCTGTAGTGCACTGAACTTTTGAATTTGTGTATCATTTTCTTTTTTACTCTCCCATGGAATTAAAAGTTAGAAGATTTCATTTTGATACCACCTTACACCAGTTAGAATGGCAAAAATTGAAAAGGCAAGAAACAACAAATGTTGGAGAGGTTGTGGAGAAAGGGGAACCCTCTTACACTGTTGGTGGGAATGCAAGTTAGTACAGTCACTTTGGAAAACAGTGTGGAGGTTCCTCAAAAAGTTAAAAATAGAGCTACCCTATGACCCAGCAATTGCACTATTGGGTATTTACTCCAAAGACACAGATGTAGTGAAAAGAAGGGCCATATGCACCCGAGTGTTCTAGCAGCAATGTCCACAATAGCCAAACTGTGGAAAGAGTCGAGATGCCCTGCAACAGAGGAACGGATAAAGATGTGGTCCATATATACAATGGAATATTACTGAGCCATCAGAGAGGATGAATACCCAACTTTTGCATCAACACGGATGGAGGAGATTATGCTCAGTGAAATAAGTCAAGCAGAGAAAGTCAATTATCATATGGCTTCACTTATTTGTGGGACATAAGGAATAGCATGGAGGACATTAGGAGAAGGAAGGGAAAAATGAAGGGGGGAATCAGAGGGGAAGACGAACCATGAGAGACTATGGATTCCGGGAAACGAACTGAGGGTTTCAGAGGGGAGAGGGGTGGGGGGATGGGTCAGCCTGGTGATGGGTATTAAGGAGGGCACGTACTGCATGGAGCACTGGGTGTTATACACAAACAATGAATCATGGAACACTATATCAAAAACTAATGATGTGCTGAATGGTGACTAATATAACATAATAAAAAAATATTATAAAAAATGAAATGTAGAATCAAAATGGGGAAGACTAAGGAAATAATTTCATGTAAAACCACACATACATTTATTTTAATAAAGTGAAAATAAAGGAAAAATCTCCTTGGCTTAATGCTATAATTTTCCTGTAAAGTCAATGTAAGTTTTAAATTAGTACTTTGGAATTATGTGATAAAAAAGCCAAGTAGTCTGTATGATGGGCAAAGTACTAAACGCATGCCGTTGCATTCATTTTGAAAGTTGTTCTCCTGGAATAAAAGTGACTTACTGTGGAAAGATATTTTAAAATACAGAAATCAAAAGAAAATAAGTTATAATCTTACCACTCAAAGTTAAGTGCTGTTAACATTTATATATACACATATAGAGGATTATTTTTATGCACTGAGGACACATTCTTCTTTTTTTGAACCCCAAATCGTGGATGCTACTGGATATGCTGTTTTGCATCTGTATCAGGATTCATTTGACTTCTAGAAACAGAAACCCTAACTTAAACGATAAACGTGAATAAAGTACATCATCTCATGAAATAGGGGCCCAGAGAGAGGATGGGCTGCTGGATGGTTGGTTCAATGACTCGGTCGGGTTATCAAGACGAAGGACCTAGCTACTCTCTTTTCTCTCTGTCCTGCCACCAGCGTCATGAGCTTCATGCTAAGGTTCTTCCCTTCGTCGTCATATAGTTGCCACTGTGAACATCTGGACAGCACGCTTCTTTATTCACATCTGGTGGAGGGAGAAAAAGCCTGTTCCCACCAGCCATGGAATGGAGATCCTGCCCTTCCGTCTGGTGAGACGGACTTAGGCCTGACTGCCCCAGAGTAAGGACAGTTCCCAGACACCTGCCGTAGGCCGACTGGCTCAAGCCTGGCTTCCTCGGTCAGTCCCTAGCAAGAGGGATCGGCTTACTGTGATTGGTTTACACTGGTTGGGGTCAATTCTCCAAACCACATCGCTACTAGAAAATGGTGGGGATGAGGAAGAGATGTTGGAAGTCAGCCCCCTCCTCAGTAACCTGATATTTTCACAGAATGTTTTATGGACACATAGAAGAGTCACGTTAAAGGATCAGTTAGCTTACTTTCTCATCATCACCTTCAGGCTGTTGTCTAATGTGCTTTGACTCTCAAAATTCTGTCCCTCCTCCTGCTTCTGTCTACACGCCGCCTTCCCCCGTGTTGTGAGGGTGGCTGGCAGCCTCCAAGTGTGGGATGCACACTTCCTGCCTGGCCTCCAGCAGGGGTGAGAGTCCTCCCCCAAGCGTGCTCCTCTCCACTGTCCAGCAGGGCAGCTGCGGTCCCATGCCAGTTCCTCATGTTTTACATGTGGTACCTGGACCTGTACGGGCCTCTGATGACCAACATCCAAACCTGGTGCTGGGAATGAGCCACCTTCCTGCCATCCATGGCGGCCTGGGCCAGGCGTAGGCACAGCAGAATCAGGGTCTGTTAGGGAAGAAGACTCAGAGAATGAATGCATGGTAACCTGCTTCAATGTCTTTAAAAATTGCTCTTTTCTTATACATTATAACAGTTATCTGAATTGTCTGAAATTAAGATGAATATCTTCAGATGGTTTAATTTTCATTTTAAAAACTCAGTTTCTTTTGTAGAAATGCTCTGTTCAGAAAGAGTTGGATGGAAAGAAAGAATAAAGTCTTCTGGGGAACTGATCCTCATTAATCTAATGTTCTCTAAAGCTTAGGAATTTTTGTGCTGTCTTTTTTGGCATAGTTTTTGACTTAAAGTGGCCTAGAAGTTAAAACCTAGAAGGAAAAAAATGAGCTTAAAGATACAAATTATAATAGATGTAAACTTTAATATCTTTATTCCTTATGTACTTTTTATTTTCAATACCCTTGAGACAATGTCATAAATAATATAGAGAATTAATAGGCATTTTTGGAGAATAATTCTGAGAAATAATAGGCATATTTGAAATTACTACAGCAAAAATCAGATCTTAGAGAAAAAAGTTATGACATACTCAGTTTTTTAAATTATACTATTAAATGTGTAACTTCATGTGTAATAAATATTCATATTTAATTTTAGGTGCCAGGGTAACATACACTAAAATAAAATGGAACAATTCCTATGGTTCTATAAAGGACTCTATAAAGGAGTCATAAATAATTATGGTAAAACTTTGAGATATTTTTATGGACTAAAAATTGAAAACTTGTTAATAGGGAAATTTTTGTAAGTGATAAAGGAGGTAGGTTAGTCACAGAGGCCTCAAACTGCAGTATATCCTATGGAACCCTGAATAAGCAGTAACGTTGTAAGATAATCTTGTATAATGTGTAAAAGTGAAGAGTGTCTGAAAAAGCTTTCCATAAGGTAGCAGGAAGAAAAAGATTATTATTACAGTAAAATTCCCCATGACCGGTCCTGCAGTTTGCATATTTTTTTGTTATCAGAACAGAGATCTGGGCGCCTGGGTGGCTCAGTTGGTTAGGCGACTGCCTTCGGCTCAGGTCATGATCCTGGAGTCCCGGGATCGAGTCCCACATCGGGCTCCCTGCTCAGCGGGAAGTCTGCTTCTCCCTCGGACCCTCTTCCCTCTCGTGCTTTCTATCTCTCATTCTCTCTCTCTCTCAAATAAATAAATAAAATCTTTAAAAAAAAAAAAAAAGAACAGAGATCTTACCTGAATTTGGAAGGCTATGACTCTCTAGGATTTAAAATGAACAAATAAACGTATTCCCTATAAAGTAACAACCTGTGGGCAGCAGTGCACTTCACTCTGGATCCCGGGTGCTTCTGGCGTTTGGATAAGAGCAGGGACTAAAGTGTACTTGGGTGCTCAGAATGTGTCTTACCTGCAATGCCCAGTCCGCCCTTTGTATCTTTTTGCTTTGTTAATAAATTCTGCTAATTATAGCAAGAGCTAAGGATACTAGGACACTTATTAAAAGCTGCTTGGATTTATGGAAGTTGTATCTTTGTTACTTTTTTTTTCCTCTTCTTTTAAGTAAGTACTCTGGTGAGACTGTGTGTGATCTGCCCGGCAGAGCACCAGTCCACATGTGGGAAGACAGGTCCTCTCTCTGGTATTGTCACCTTGCTATGTTACCTTGAACAAATAACCTCTGTGATCTTCAGTTTTCTCATTTCTAAAGAGAAGGTGGTGGGTCAAATGTGTCTCCGAGTTTCCTTTTTGCAGCAGAATTGGGGTATACGAGAAGGTCTCAGTGATGATGGGCTAGACTGTTTGTACCTCTGGATGTGGGGAGGTGGCCCAGGTGAAGAATGTGCAATCCTAGCATTAGCGGTTATGGGAAAATCAAGTCGAAGGGGTCAGTACTGCCCACTGGCAACTTTTCTTCTACCCACTAGTTGAGAAATAGAGGTACAGAGGCTCTAATGAGGCTCCTTGGGAGGTGGAGGAAATTGCAGTGAATTCATTTGCCCCCATTCCAGGTTTGGGGTGATTCAGCCCTGCGTTTTCAAGGTTTGTGACCATTGTGTGATCAAACAGCCCTGCTTGAAGGGAAAAGACCAGCTCTTCTGGAATTTCTTCTAACTTGTTACAGATTCCCAGAGGAAGCTTTGAGTTTCAACAAACCTTGGGTATATATGTTCCAAAATGTTGTCTTCCTCACAACCAAGGGTTGGAGGGCTCAGACCCTCCTCACAGGAGTGTGGACTGGGCCAGAGAAGGCTTAACCACCGCCATATTCCTGAGGTCGGCCTGTATGCTTGTTTTTTGTCCTTCCAGGTCTTTTTTAAATCCTGGACATTCCTTTCTAGTTGGCCTAATAAATTAATTTGCCTTACGAACAAGAAGTCCTGTGGAGTGGCTTTGACGCTGTCTCTTGTCTGACACAGAGCCATCACGCTGGAAAATCAACTGGTGATCCTTGCCGCGACCGCAGGTGACGCCGGGGCTTACTACGCGCAGGCCGTCAACGAGCGGAATGGAGAGAACAAGACCAGCCCGCTCATTCACTTGAGCATAGCAAGTGAGTTTTGAAATTCCAAATGATAATTCTGAAGGCAATAAAGTCTTGATTTAATTAATATATTTCTCATGGGATATTTTGCAATAAATCTCTCTCTAAGATAGTGGCGATGGTTTAATATTAAAGATTTTTATTTATTCATGAGAGACAGAGAGAGAGAGGCAGAGGGAGAAGCAGGCTCCCTAAGAACAGGGAGCCCGATGTGGGGCTCGATCCCAGGACCCCGCGATCATGACCTGAGCCAAAGGCAGATGCTTAACCATCTGAGCCACCCAGGCGCCTGAGTGATGGTTTAATATTGATCCAGTGTCAATAGTTGCTTTCTTTGAAGTGGTATGCAGAAAATGTGAGCACAACAGGTGATTCTGACTGCAAGATCTTATTTGTTTTGGGGATTTAAAATATTTTTGCTTTCGCACACTGTTACTGCATACTGTTTTTAACAACAAAAAAAATCTTGATTTTTAAGGAATTGTATTTATGAAACTTATTTGAGACTAGATTAAGCACAGGTTGTTAGTTTAATTTAAAAATAAGATCTTTGAGAAAATATATAAAGTTGTGTTAAAATTAGCAGTATTTCTTTTTTTTTTTTCTTTTTTTAGAGAGAGAGTGAGCAGGGGGCAGAGGGAGAGGGAAAGAGAGAATCTCAAGCAGGCTCCAATGCCCAGGGCAGAGCCCGCCCCAGATTAGCAGTATTTCTTAACTATAATCAGCTGACCATTTTTTCTACCTGATTTTACTGAATAATGAAGAGAATACAGTTACACTTTCAGTTTATTTAAGGAAGTTTTAGTTTGAGGAAACTTAGTTTAAACATTTGGCCTTTGAAAGAAGGCTCTAGCTAGTGTTGATTGCTGAGGAAGGGAGAAATGGTCAGAAGCAAAAACTCTGAGCTAAAAGAGATTAAAATGTGTACCTCGCAGGGCAGGTCACCAGATGTTGGCAACGTGAAGTTTCATGGGATGAAATGCATTAACTCTGTTCATGAGAACATATAGTTGGGAAACGGTTATAAATATCAAAATTTGATGATCCCATCAAACGAGAGTGAATTAAACAGGTTTGTCCGTATAGCAGTAAATGTCATCTTTTTGAGAAACACCTCAAAGGGATGGCCTTCCCCGGCAGGTGGTTTGAAAAATTTCGTGTCTTACGTGGGATGGGATCACAGTGTTTGCTTCCTGCGGGGTACAGTTGCGTGAAGCCGAGTAGGACTGACTGGGTGAATGTCTGCAGCAAATGTGGGGCAGGAGACCACAGGGTTAACTGAGTGCTCCGTCACAGCCCACCCTCTTCCTGGTAAGTGCTCCTAAGGGGCCATCATCCTGCCGTCAGCAGCTCCATTCCTACGAGCTGAATTCTGATCTCCAGACCACAGATAGTGTGCGGATTGGGCTGTCACCGTGGCCTTTTTAATGCCTTGGAGAGTTATGTGCGTTGACTGAGTGTGGGCTTTTGAATCAAGAATCATAATAGAAATAAATGTGACTTCTCAAGATTTTTTTCAATATTGATAATAAAGGATGGAAATTGTGTTATCAAATAGATTGATTAATGATTTCTGAGTTTTACAATTAGAACCATTTGTTCTGTTTAGAAAATTGATTTAGCACTCAATTGTAATATACATACCAGGATAATAATTGGTCAGATTGGGAGAATTCTAGGTCAGAAACAAGGAAATTGGTCTTAGCCGGTTGGAAGAGGGGAAAAAAATTCCACAAATAGTCTGGTTACCGTGATGCTGACATCACAGAGCTGTGGAATAGTCTGTACCTGTAATTTCCCGCATGCCTGTTCTAGAAAGGCCAGTAGGAAATAAAGCCAATACAGTGAATTTGCAAGTTGCCATCCTATGCAATACCATGGCGTTAGATAATTGGAATATGTAAATTCTTTTTCAATAATTTCAGTTTCTACTCCTACCAAGAAGTATTTTGGAAGTAGCTCATAAATATTATAATTAACTGCCTTGCATTTTGTTCCCTTGTATATTTTTATCTTTTCATTGGCACCGGGTAAAATGTATGGAAGGTGAGGTATAAAAAGGTTGATGGTGTGGAGGGACTTACTGTAAATCTTGGGAGAAAACCTGCACACTGTTTCCTTATATATTCTTTGCTTTTTATTTGGGACCAAGTAACATGTGAAGAGTCAGAAGGTTGAGGAAGCAGCCTATTTTGATTCTCAGGATAACATTCTGTTGACATATTGGATCTAGCTAAAAGTTAAATGGCACTCTATTATGCATTTTCACGCTAAAAAGTCTATTTTGAAACCTCTAAAGATCAGAAATATTGATAAATCTGTAGAAGCCCCCAGAATTGTATGTTTAAGCGCTGCTCCTTTCTGGACCGCAGCAAAAGCTCTCAGCAGCAGAACATGCTCTCGGGCCCACGGCCAGCGCCGGGTGAGGCCGGGGAAGGGGGATGTGCAACCCCTCTAAGTTTATCATGGGGTTAGGTGTCCTCAGGACCCATCTGAGCTGGCGGTAGGACACGCTGTGTAATGCAGACTTAGACATCTTGTTTTGTTTTGTTTTGTTCCTGATGGAGGCTTTGTAAAAACACCAAACAAGATTGATGAAATTTTAAAAAAAACTTGCCAGCCAGCATTTCTGAAGAATCAAAAGGTATTACAGCCAGTTATCATTTAACGAAGATAAATTTTTCTTCGGCAGCAGGAGACTAAAATAAGGAACGTTTATGTAGTGAATACGACTGAGGTGGTAAGGTACTGGAAATTAAATTCCTGGTGGATCGTACTATAATTAATTTAAAATTGGAGAGCGCCAGGCAGCCCTACCTCTTGTTTCCTGTCGTAATAATAAGCAGTTCCTCCTGCAGGACAGCCTGGCATCAAAGTGGGGTAGCACCCAGAGGTCAGCCTTGTCTCAAAACATCTAAATGAGTGATGCCCTAACATGCAGCTAACAGGAGCAAATAATGTATCTTCCCAACAACCATGTACACGAGAGTTCAAAACCTTGGGCCCTTTTCAGTCACTACATGTTGTGGCTACACTTGAAGCTTATGGGAAGCAAAAGATAGAGACGATTCAGATAAAAATAAATAAATGTTTAAAAAAGCATGGCAGTTGGGAGGGAAATGCAGCCCCTCCACCGGACCACCCGCTGTTCTGTGCACGTTTAGTAGACGGCGTTGTTATCTCTTCCCATTTCTGCTCCCTTTGTGTGGCTAAGGAGATAAAATGCAGCGTGTTCTTCACAGATACTTCCTGTCCAGAAGGAGAGGCCACCTCTGAACCATCCATTCTCCTGCTCCCCAGGGACAGCTCGCCGCCATCTCAGGGGTGGATTCACTTTGAGGTTTTAATGCGACATGAAGCCAGCAGATGTTAAGGACGTAGGTGGGACCGCGGAAGCGTCCTGCATGAATTTTTCATAGCTGCTCCCGCTGCTCAGGTGCGCGCCGTTAAAAGAACAGGCTGAACTCACCCGAGAGTGGATGTTTCTATTCTGAGGTCAGACCCAGGCAAGCTTTATAAACCTGTCAGCCTGCTTTTGGTTTTCACTTTGAAGATTTTACATTGAGTTAACTTTGGTGGATCAGATCTTCTGAACCGAATTAATAATGTGAATAAGTTTCTTCTTAAAATCAGAAGAAAGGGTAGAGTCAGGAGATGAGAGGAATTCTCTTGGATGAGGAGTCCGTCGTTGTGTAGATGACACTGTGCCCACCTTGACCCATCGCGGGTTCTGACCCCATGTGCAAGATGCCCAGTGTAATGAGAGCCTCTGGCAGGGAGGAGGATTGAAAAGGAAGCAGTGCCCGTCTCCTTCCTGTGTTTTTACCTCTTTCATTTTAATGCCTCCTCTTCAAACAGCATCCGCGGATATCATTTCATCTGATCCTCCTTCAGGCTGACAAACCCTTGCTTTTCATTCTGAAGACCACTTAACATTCTTTTGTCCTCTATAATGCTAATTTAACTGCAGACCTCATATATGTGTAGTAGCTGAAAGTGGATTCCTGAGAATAATGTCCAGGAACAGTCGTCTGAGAGAACCGCCCTATAAAACATGGCTCTTGTGCACCCAGATAAAATTCTTTTGCATTTTCTTTGTGCCTTAAATATTTCTGGGAGAAAGGGGCAAGGCAGAAGCCTTTCAAGTGTACTCTGACATGATTCCCAAAGCAATAGCAACAGTTTGAAATATTGCTGGAAACCTATCCAGAGACAGTGTCCATACCACAAAGGATGAATTTAGAATCCAGCTATGGCTTTATACATCGGATGGAACTTTACTGCCAGAATTTTCAGAAACATAAATAGGAAGTGTACTTTACGATAGAGTAATGAGCTAATCATTTTGGATGTTCTGAACCTTCTAAGTGGGATGTGTAATGAAGCATAAGACATGCTCGGGCCCTGGCGTCCTGGAGCTGGCCACGGGCAGAACAAAGTGTAGGCTATGGGCTCTAAAGCGATTTTGTAGGTACCCCATCAGTAAACAAGCCTTGTGCGTCCACCCCTCATACATGCATACTCAGTTATTTATAAATTAGAAGCATAGAACTATCATACAAAAGAGATAAAGTTGAAATAAATGGTATCTTAAGTATCTTGCTAATCGCGAACATCTTATTAATCTCAAAAATAAGACAAGTGATTTTTCCAGCAGAAGTGGGTTTATTCAGGAATAACAGAGAATGCAATTCAGGACAGGCCAACTATGGCAAAACCATACGCAAATCCAAGAAACAAAACAGGAATGTTGTTTTTGGAGAATAAAGAGGAAGTTGCAGGGGGGTTTGAACAAAAGTCTGTTGGAGAAAATCCAGAGTTCATGGTAATGATGGTTCCTGATTGGCTGAGTTGCAGGGGTGGTTGATTTCTTTTTGTTTTGTTTTGTTGTTTAAAGATTATTTATTTGAGAGAGAGAGTGAGAGAGTGTGAGCGGGGAAGGGGCGGGGGGGGGGGAGAGACAGAATCCCAAGCAGACTCCCCGCTGAGGGCAGAGCCCCATGTAGAGC